TGGGCACATTTCCGATTCTCTTATTAAGAGTGTGTTTGGTTCACTTTTTGAAAAATGGAGAGAGCTCGACAGAAGATTCCAAGGGTACAATGGTGGCACGATGGTGGTATTATATTTTGGATGATGAAAGTGGTGGTAAAATAGTATGGTACGGTATGTTAACGGAGTATGTTGCACAATATGTTAGAATACTTGAATGCAATGATATGTTGCCGGGTGACAATGTAGTAGGGCCTTTTAAGTCTGAGAAGATGGTGTTGGTTGGGAAAATGAAGTAGGTTCGAGATCAGAGAAATCTGACCCGATTGTTTGCCGTCACAAATGGCAGTGATGGTGGAAAACAACGCAAAATGGGATGGTGCTAGATTTTTGATGACCGTTGATATTCGGGCTAGTTTACGCGCATCTCGACTAATCCCTTGGGACCCTAAAGTTTACGGTTGGGTACTCGCCTTAGTGGCTCTGAGGGGATTCGAACTGGTGATCATTGGGGAGCAAACCCAAGACCTAACCAATTGAGCAACCCCTCAGGGTTGGTTGAAAATGAATTTTAAAAATAAGGAACAAACATGAACGGATAAGAATTCNGGCTCTGAGGGGATTCGAACACAATATCACATATATTACATTCTCCATCAAAATACTATTCCATTTTGGGCAATTCGAACACAATATCACATTTCTTCCTCATGCAATTAGTTGAGAGTTCAAGGAATTCAAATTCAAGTGTATTGAACATTTATTATATGGAGGCATAGTAGAAGTATAAAAAAACAGAGTAACCGATGCAGAATTTTTTTAATTTTTAAGGAAAATGAGATAATGTTCATAGGACAAAAAATCTATATTTTGAATTGAAAAAAATCTTTGTTTCTATTTTAATATAAAAATGTTATTTTCATTTAAATATTTAAATGGTGTTACACTTGTAAAAAAAATATGTTTGAGGCATTTTAATAATTAGTCGTCTAGGACCTCAAAATTTTCGAGGCCGGCGTGGATCTTTAGCCTTTATTTGGTCCCCGTTATTTCCAAAATAAATATTTTTTTCTTATTTTCAATTACACATTTTTCAATAAAATAATATTATATGTAAACCAAAAAAATTTCCCCTCAGTGGCTCTGAGGGGATTCGA